ATTTAAAATTTTGTAGGTGTGAGAAATAATAAACATAAACTTTAGGCATTCACCCTTTCTAGTTGATAAAATTTAAGCTGTCTTTATCCCTCTTGTGGTTGATGGACAATTTCATGACTTACAGATGGAAGAAAATAGAATCTTTATATATGATTCTTATATTGACATACAATGAGTTATTTTATATTCTTTTGTATTTAAAATATTACTTAGTACAAGTTGGACTTTTATAAATAGAAATTGATTTTGCTTTAAAAATTAAATGATCTGAAGAAGTTTTCTTCTCTAAAATTAATTTACATGTAGTTGAATATATCCTTGAGACATTTTGAGTGAGTAGAAAACTGACTTAAGGGGACAAAATTATTCTCATAGATGCTAAATTGAAGACCTTTGTAAATCTGGAGGTTAAAAAGTATAAGTAGTTGAGAATCAGCATTTGTAGAAAACATCAGATTTTGGATATTTTAATCTTGAATTATATGCAGTATTTTAAGAGTTTTTGAATATGAAATTAAATCTCCTGCTTTGGTTTAAAATTATGGACCTGTGTAGATTATATGATAAATCTAAAGTTTTGACCTTTCCATCAGATTCCCTATTCTTCTATACTTTCTCTAGGTCTTTCCCCTCAGTTACCTTTCCTCTTACCAACAACTTCATTCTTTCTCCAGTCCTTCCCTTTCAGCTTTAATACATACATAGGTCTTCTCATTGTTGAAAAATACTCTTTATTTGGTCCTACTGGTTCTTCTAGGCATTTTTCCTCCTTTTTTAGTGCTAAAATTCTTAATTTCTAGTAATTTTTACCTACTGCTGGCATTATTTTAGACATTTCATCTCATTCCTGATGCCTTTAGTTATCCTTGTCTTCTCATTATGATCTTCAGTTTCCTTGTACTCTTCTGGTTTCTTCCTATCTCTCTATATGTATTCTTCTCCCTTGTGGGTGAAGGGTGAGTGGGATGGTGGTGTGAACATGGAAGGTATATATATTGGAGACACACATACATAAAAACTGTTCGTTTGCTTTTTTCCTGTCTTCTGTTTGCTTTTCTCTTTTTCTCTTTTCTTTTTCTGCCAAATTTCTCATGCAAGTTACTTCACTGTATCTTTTTTCTTTCTTTTTTTTTTTTTTGGAGATGGAGTCTCTCTCTTTTGCCAGGCTGGAGTGCAGTGGCGCAACCTCGGCTCACTGCAGCCTCCACCTCCCGGGTTCAAGTGATTCCCCTGCCGCAGCCTCCCGAGTAGCTGGAACTACAGGCACGCGCCTCCATGCCCAGCTAATTTTTGTATTTTTAGTAGAGATGGGCTTTCACCATGTCGGCCAGGATGGTGTCGATCTCTTGACCTTGTGATCCACTCGCTTTGGCCTCCTGAAGTGCTAGGATTACAGGCGTGAGCCACCGTGTCTGGCCAGACTTCACTGTATCTTTTTCTAAACCATCCACTCGGGCCATAACTCCCTGCATTGTCTTCCATTTTCTCCAGTATTGAACCTCTACCTTCAAAGGACAAATCAGCTTTTAAGTTAAAATTAAATTTAAAGTTACCTTTCTGTGATATTTAACATTAACTGCCTCTCTTAGATATAATGCTTTCTTCTTTTTGATGACTTTTATTATTTTCCTAAGGGTAGGTCTTTGACACTGTAATTTTTCAGAAACCTTACACACATTTATGATTTAGACTTAACACATCTATGCTGATGACTTTCATTTTTAATCACCTTCTCCCTTGAATTCTATCTACCTTGTTAGGCAGTTCACAGTATATTAAGCTTTTCTGTATACATAAATCTAATAAAGATATTAGGCTGACCCATCTGAAATTGCAATTTTTGTAGGTCAAAAACTGTTACATATTGACAGCGTCAAACCTAAAAAAGAAACTGTAGCTCTCATTTTAATAATGTTTTCTGTACATGTGCATTTAACGTTGCAGAACCTTTTGATGGAACAAATACAGCCAGAGCAGTGCACGAAAAGCAGAAATTTGACATGATCAAGGATCAATTTTTAAAGGTAAACAATGCATTAGATCAACCCTAGAAGCATTAGTAGACCCGTATG